TACGCATATTTGTTGTCTGTTATGGAAGGTCGTGGGAGCGTGCCCCACAGGAAGATTGTATAAGTGTGGCATGTAGTCACTTGATTGATTGAAGATTTAAACCAAGTATGAAGACGGTGGTGATATCATTCATTTGAGAATTTATGCTTGGAGGGCACTCGGCTTGTGGACCGTGGAGGATTGCCCCGGTTATGATGATAGTTCTCGTGTGTTATGAGAAAAAGGGGGTTATTATGGACCTTCGAAAAGTTATTAGCCTAGTTCAGTGTGATCAGAATCAGCTTGAGGTCCGTGGATGGATCTAAATGTGAATATGGGCTCTATATCAGGCCAGATGTGTTTATTTCAGCAATGCGCTCCTTTGGACAAGTAGTCGGGGTACTATTTCGTCGTCAGCTATTTCATGAAATGATATATTGCGCCGTATGAGTTGTGAGACGGCTTGATGAATTTCGTATGTGTTGAGGTTCCGCTTAGAGATGATGTTATATGAGCAGGATGGCTCTCGAGATTCAGATCGTATATCGCACCTCAGTTGTGTTTGAGTTTTGTAGCCTATGGCACTATATGTCTCCCCAGGGATGGTATTATGCACTTAGCGTGCTTGTGACCGATATTCGGAATTTTGTTATAATGAGCAGTTTAGCTCGATGTATATCTCCTTATGTGAATTCTATATGTGGATCGGGTGGCACGCCGCCATGGGTATGTTATTTGGATCGGGTTGCACGCCGCAACAGTGTGATATTGAGTACAGTTTTCTATATGCTATTTCTTTTGTAAGCCTTACTTCCTATTCTCTAACGAAAGTTCATATTAGTGCGTGAGTTGAGTAGTTCCTTCTAGAGTTCGTTTTCCATTTGTCACGTTCGAGTTCATAGCCTATTGGCACATTGTGGCATCATATGAGACTTTTGATCATGTCCGGGGTGGCTTATTGCTTGAGCGGTTCGTACTGGGTGAGACGAGATCATTGGATTTAGGATCAGTGCAATCTGATTATGAGAAGTATATTAAGGAGCTAAGACCATTATTTGGTTCAGAATGAGGTGATGGTTCTTATCAGGAGTATAGATCCAATGATTTGTTGATTCGGCAGTTGGGTATGAATTTCTACACACCTCTTCCGTCTTGGCGGTATGGTAAGAGTTAGAGCAAGACCTATGTAGGTCATGAGGTGCAATGGGAGCATCAGATTCGTGGGATTTCGACTAATTTGATCAGAGAATGTTATTGTGGTCCTGTGAGTAAAGTGGTGCAAGGTGTGAATTCAGCTAAGGTATGCAGTCATGTTTTGGCGCTGCGGATAGTTATTGATACGGTGAGCGTATGTTGGGACAGGCCTGGCAGAGAATTCTGGATGTAGGAATTGGGCTCTAAGGCTTATTTGCTTAAGTGGAAAAGGATATCTTCAGATTGATCGAGCTAGGGTACCCAGCTGAGTTGTGGTAGCACGGGTAGGTGCGCGAGGTGTTAAACAGTGATTTCGGACAACTCCAACACAGTTCTTAGCACGTTCGAGGACGAACCTATGTTTAAGTGGGAGAGAATGTAACGACCCAACCGGTCGTTTTGAACTCTAGCGCGTCGCTCAGCAGTTTGCGCCATGAGCAGCTTCACTTCAGGTATGTCTCTATGCTCGTTCGAGGACGAACGAATGTTTAAGTGTAGGAGGATGTGACGACCCGGCCGATCGTCTTAAGAATTAACGCCCCGATCCCCTATTAACTGTTTTCCNTCCTTCTTCCTCTCTCTGTACAGTTCCACCTAACAAGGTGTATAGCTTCTGTAGTAGAACGACCCGGCATGAACCCGAACTGGTTGTGGGATACAGACACTGTCATCCACACGCTCCTTCAACCACCCTCTCCCACACTTTCATGGTATGACTCGGTAATTTGATACCCCTATAATTGTTACAACTCTGGATATCACCTTTGTTCTTATACAATGGAACCACCGTACTCCACCTCCACTCATCCGACATCCTCTTCGCCTTAAAAATAACATTAAACAATCCAGTCAACCACTCCAAACCTGCTCTCCTCACACACTTCCAAAATTCCACCGGAAAATCCCATAAACTATAGCTCTTTTTTATCATAACACAGGTAAATTCCCACGATAGAATTCTGTAAGATCTCATAAAAATGTTTGTTGCGAAAATGGTCAAACGGAAAAAGTTATTTCTTCAAGCTTTTCCAACTGAAAAGTAACGGAAAATAGAAGGAAAATGTGAATTATTTTCCTCTCTTCACACCAAACGACATGAAGGGAAGGACAATACTTTCAAACAAGTTGAATCTTAGAAAGTGACAAACTAAGCACCGAGGCACTAGAGGATGAGTTGAAAACTATGGTATGGGTAAACTGAGGCTCAAGCGAATAAGTGTGTTTAAGCTTTAAAGCTAGATGTAGCGAGATCTGAGTGCTCTGGCTCGAGTCACTTGGGCAGCACTTCAACCCTTTGGGTGCAGGTTCAATAATAAGCCTATCTTATGGCTTTTAGATTTTATAATGATTAAATGTTGTCAATGCGGTAATGCCAAAATAATATAAGTAAACAGAATGCAACATCCGTAGGAAAAAAACAGATATAACAGGATAAGCACAAGATGACAACTAGTGAAGGTAAAACTACATTTGACTTATACCATTAAGATTCAAAAACATGGATGCATAATTATATTGCCTGCTCTCGGTATACCATCAGAAATAAATGAAAAACAAAAAGAGCAACAAAAGGAAAATGAGAAAAGCAATGCAAGATACCTATTTCATAGAAAATATCATTGACATTCACAGCAGTTTTGGCAGAGGTCTCCATGAAAAAGAGGCCATTTTCATCTGCATACAAGCCTGACTCCTGTAAAGTCACAACACTATATTAGAACATCTATATCCCAAAACCATGCTAGGCTAGGATTACCTGCTTCACTTTGATATGAAATTGATTGGATTGAATTCTTGTTGTTGCTGCATGTTTACTTTGGGACTACGGAACGGTATTCTGGGAGATCCCCCTGCACTTTTACTTTGGGACTACGGGACAGTATCGCGGGAGCTCCCCTCTATGTTTACTTTGGGACTACGGGACGGTATCCCGAGAGCTCCCCTGTATGTTTACTTTGGGACTACGGAATTGCATTCCAGGAGATTCCCCTGCACATTTATGAGTTGGACTACGGGACTGCACTCAGGAGATCCACTGGATATGGTATTATATTTGGGGAATACAGGACGGTATCCTGGGAGATCCCCGATTGTTATCTTGGAGCTGAGCTGTATTCTCTTACTGTGTTTTACTTGCCTCTGTGATAGTCGTTGCTGTCCTTTATATCTTGTGTTACTTATTTACACTGTTTATTTCACACTATTAACCCTTATATTTCGTTTAACCTCAGTAGGGCCCTGACCTTCCTCGTCACTACCCAACCGAAGTTAGGCTTGGCACTTACTGAGTACCGCTGTGGTGTACTCATGCCCATTCTGCGCATGTTTTTCATGTGCAGCTCCAGGTACTTTCGCTCAGTCTTATCATCCTTGAGGCGAGGCGCTTCTGTAGAGACTTCAAGGTATATCTGCCGCGTCCGCAGACCGAGTAGTCTCTTTCTATTCTTGCTGTTTAGTACTAGCCCTTTTGTATTTTTCAGTTCTTGTTAGACATTCTGGAGTTAGAGCTGTGTAGTACTTCTTAGCTTGTGATTCATGGGTTTCCTGGTCTTGGATTTATGTGTTGGTTTTGAGCGTTAAATATGGTGTTTGCCGAGCGGCACATTTACACACTGGTTATTTCTTATTCCTGTTTTAAATTGTTTTACTTCCGCAAATTTTTGGTTTCTTTTCCGCAATTTAGGCTTACCTAGTCGTAGAGACTAGGTGCCGTCACGATGGTTCACGGACGGCGAACCGGGGTCGTGACATTATCAAAAAAGAATGTACCACTAAAACTTAAAGGTAAGTTCTATAAAATGGTGGTTATACCGACTATGTTGTATGGGGCAAAGTGTTGGCCAGTCAAGAACTCTCATGTCCAGAAGATTAAAGTAGCTGAGATGAAGATGTTGAGATGGATGTGCGGGCATACCAGGTTAGATAAGATTAGGAATGAAGTTAATCAGGAAAAGGGAAAAGGTGGGAGTGGACCCCGTGGAGGATAACATGCAGGAGGCGAGGCTGAGATCGTTCGGGCATGTGACGAGGAGAAGCGTAGATGCCTCAGTTAGGAGATGTGAAAGGTTGACCTTGGGGGGGGGGGGGGAGTATAAGGAGAGCAAGAGGTAGGCCAATGAAGTACTGGGAGAGGTGATTAGGCAGGAAATAACGCATCTTAAGCTTATCGAGGACATGACCCTTGATAGGAGGATGTGGAGGTCGAGAATCAGGGTAGAAGGTTAGTAGGTAATCGAGCGTTTTCCATTTTCTTTCCCATACCGGTAGTATTAGTGTTAGTATGGTTTCTTTTTATTCTTATATTGCTATTACTACCTACTGTTCGATTGCAATCTCTCGCTTCGTTTTCTTAATATCTTGTTGTTGTTACTGCTTGTTTCCACGGCTTCTTTTTCATCTTTTCTTTAGCCGAGGGTCTATTCAGAAACAACCTCTCTGCCCTCCGAGGGTAAGGGTACGGTCCGTGTACACTCTACCCTCCCTAGACTCCACTTGTGAGTTGTGGGAATTCACCGGGTTTATTGTTGTTGTATTAATAAAGGTACTCTCATGTTGTGAACTTCAATTTAATTCCATTTATTAACCTACCAGGCGCTTTTTCATTAAGTAGAGCATCTGAAACAGTATGTTAATATCATCAAACTCTTTTTTTTTTAAAAGGTAAAGATTTTATTAAATAAAGTATCAAGCTGGTACTTTCTTTAATCAATATCACAATGCAAGAGAATTTCTCACTTTTGGTACATATCATTTTTCGGAAAATTAATATCACAAAAGGATTAATTTCATAAATAGAGAAGATAACCGGAAAATCTAGTCAGACTCACAAGGTAATAAAGAACTACTAAGAGCAAACCGGATACTCCAGCCGTGATGAACATATAGCTCAATGTGTAAAGAGGTTTAGAAAGAGGAACACCTGGAACATAAAAAATGTGCTGTAAGCATCAGCTATAAAGCAAACATGTCTTGAAAATAAAATTCAACCCACCATCACCCATTAAACAGCATACCTGCAAGCTCCAACACATATCCTACAATTGTTAGAAAGACAGAAAATACGGACCAAAAGATTACCCTCTGCATGTGACCCTACAGCAAAGATGTATTTATATGAGAGAGAGGATGCAACAAAATACAACAAGCAATTCTATAGTTAGCAAATGTTTCAAAAGAGTATCATCTCTTTCTTACTTTAACATGCACAAGAATGTGGCCGAAATGCAAGCCCACAAGGCATGTAATGGCGGCCATCAAAGAACTGAATAGTTTCAATAAGAAAAGAAAAGGACATGAGCTGGAAGCAATTAAAGTAAAGCAAAGGAACAGAATGTGCTAGCTGACAATGTGGCTCATATTTAATTTGATTTACATGAAAAAGAAAAAGGAGCCTCCAAACATACGTAAAACAAATGGTACAGCAAAAGAATATGCTACTTTACACATCTAACAAGTGCAGAGATTTATCAATCGGCCTTTATGAATTAATATCTCAAAAAAGCAAATCGCGTCAAAAAAAAGCTGTTTCGATTGTGTACCTAGGCTCTAGCTAACAAAATTAAGCTGGACGCAATCTGCTGGAGAAGTGTGCACAGGGAAAAGAGCATATTTACCTTAACATTCCTTCAGGGTCAAATGGAGCAAGGCACCATCCAGGTGCATTTGATGGTAGAGGTCCATAATCAGGAGAGTTGACGCTGCATTCCTGCCGACAGAAAATTATCAGCACGAGCCAGATGATGAGAACAGAAATGTAAAGTTCAAATCCACCAAATCAGAGTTTGCAGACAATTAAGGTCATAAAGAACCTTGGTTCTTCTGTAGACAGGACGTTGATAAAGGTGTTTTTCACCAAGAAGAAGCCTATCAATCAGACCAACCACATTGCAAGGAGGATCAAGACTGCCCCTCACTCCACAGTTAACCTGTTAAACATAGATATCAGGACCTAAAGTAAGAACAAGAGTCTCTCTCTCTCTCTCTCTCTCTCTCTCTCTCTCTCTCTCTCTCTCTCTCTCTCTCTCTCTCTCTCAAACCAAGGGCACAGACCTCCCAAAATAAGCCAATTAATAACTAAGTGAAGACTCAGATTTCTAGGAAACTTAACATAAGGCATGTAGAGTGACAAAACTTAACAGATGTCTGGTGCACAAAAAGAATGGTGTTTAATAGCCACCAGAAGATTATACCAGAGAACAGTAAAATCTTGGAGCAGTTCAGAAAGATTCTTACAGTTTGAGTACTCAATTCATATCCTGAAACTGGTGATTCCATGTTAAGACTTGATATTTCAAAGAACCAATCTGGAACATAGAGGCCATACAGCAAAATAAGGTAAGATAAACCAATTAAGGTTCCAGCCACCCTGCATATTGAGAAGTATATTAGCAGAAAAAGAAGGAAAAGCTTCTCAAAATAAGTGGCATTATCATGTACAGAAAACTTTGTGGCTAGTTTAATCTTCTTCATAAATTTACAATTTTTTAATTGGCATAAAGGTGTAATTAATCAGATTTGGGATCTCATTATTCCTTATAGCTACTATGAAAAATTTTACTATTGCGTGGACCCATATATCTGGACAAGCAAAAAGCTAAAGGTCATCATGTACTGGACCATGTATGTCTCAGGAAAAAATATCCACTGAAAAGCTAAACAGGCAAAACTAAAGAAAGGAGATTTTGATTTGACTGATCTGGTCAAAGGATTGCTATATAAGAACTAAAAAGTAAAATGAACATAGGAAGATAACAAATGCCAACCAGCAGTATTTCCCTATAACTGATGGATAGCCATTTGAATCACTATAGTGTTGTTGTGCACTTCATGAAGTCCTTGGAGTATCATAGATCTTTTCCCGCAAGAACAAGTGATATCATTTACAGATTCTCAAGAGTACTAGTTCATCCACAAACGTATGGATAAATATTCTGCTGCAACTACAAAATTTTGAGCACTACAAAAATCTTGAACAGACACGTGTGATATTCTCGACCAAGGAAGACACTGATTAAGAAAAACAAACAATTCAACCATGTGCATCACCAACAAAAAATATTAAAATAAACCATGAACGAACCAAGCAGCACATGATCCATAATCTCAAGAGGTATACTTACGCTTGAAAGAAGTATCTCCTGACGAATGCCTTTGCTGAATCAACAGGATAATCATTGGCAAGCCAAATTTCCAGAATTGAAGCAAATAGATAACCAATAGAAATTCTCTACAGCAGAAAAGCACATAGAGTAATGCTCGGATATAAAGGAACTTGAAATACAGATAACAATAAAGGTTTTAATCTACCTAAGGGCGTAGAAGACAGCCTGGGATTATACGAGTAAAGAAAAAAATCAATTAAGGAACACAAGCCATTGTCAGATANGGAACCACGCGAATGCGAAGAACAAAACCTCTGTGCACCTGAGACAGCAAAACCTGCAACTTTTCTAAGTTTAAAAACATCCCAAAACCCATCCTAAACTAACCTGAGCCCTCGGGGCTCCAAACCGAACATGCATACTAACCCAAAGACATCATATGGACTTATTTGTGCTATCAAATCGCCAAATTAACACCTTTAACAACGAATTTAGCATCAAAATCAAAGAAAAACCAATTTGGTTGAATTAACAAAAAATAGGGATTTAATGGACCTTGCTATGTTATTAAACGATGGGGACACAATAGACATTTTTGTCTCTTCTGACTCACAATTTGAGGAGGTGAATGCTATAGAGGGTAGCCAAATAAGCCACGTGGGTGAGCCTTTTAATGCATCTTCTAGCACACAACAAGACAATAGGGAATCTTTTGTTCCATGTGGTCCTCCTTTAAATACTACTGCTGCAAATCCAAATCTAGGGTTACCTACTCCTTTGAATACCACTCAAGAAGAGGGTTCACCCATAGATTGGACTTCCTCTTCAGAGGAAGAAGAATCTGCTGTTGCTGATGATGTAGAGGACATTGCTGTTGATCCTCAACAGGTAGGACCTACTGGAGAAGAAGAAGAAATGGCATCTGGTGATGAATCTGAGAGATCATTTGATTACGGAAGTGATGTCCATGAAGAGTTGAGGGTTGTTAAAGAAGATCTGAAGAAATATAGACAAAAGAATAGGAGAAAACTTAGGAAGGAAAAACCTGATGGATTTTTAGGTGAAGTTGGAGTTGATGAAGGTTATGAGAACATAGATCAACCCAAAAAAATATGAGAGACAAATTAGGAGGTGATGTGGAGCCTTACTATGATAGTTCAGATC